GCTAGGTAAGTGCAGAAAGCGCCTAACTTTCTTCTTCTTCTTCTTCTTCTTCTTCTTCTTCTTCTTCTTCTTCTTCTTTTTCTTCTTCTTCTTCTTCTCCTCTCCTCTTCTCCTCCTACTCCTCCGAAGTTCTTCTTCTTCTTCTTCTTCTTCTTCTTTATCAGAGTAGAGATAGAGGTAACTGCAGACATTGTTTGGACACGGCATTCTGCCCTATTGGACACGACATTCAGATCGGACTTACACTCTACATTGGGATTGAACTGTGTGCGACATTCGGAGATCAAACTTGGGTTGGACTTGGTTACCTCCGCCCCTCCCCCTTCTCTCTCGCATGTCTATGGATCTCTCCCCATGTGTGTGAGCGGAAGGGCAATCTTTCTGATGTCTTGCCCTTCCGAAGTTTTCTCCTTTTCATGTTGTTGTCCACGTGTCCTTTGATACTAAATCTTCCGCTGCGCTGCTTCCCAACCTATGATGATAATGATACGAATGTGTTGTTGTTGATTTCGCGTTGTTTCACTCTCTCCATCGTGCACATTGACACCTTGTGAATGTTGCACCTATGCTGCTGGTTGTTGCCACTTTCGTCATTGCTAGATCCTAGGCTTTCAGTGCATTTCACTTTCTGATATGATACAACAGGCCTTGGGAGGACTTGGGCCTGGACCAGCGCATCTGGCAACAGCGTGTGGACCAGGGGCAATGCATTTATTGCGGTGACCCTGGCCACATCATCAAATATTGTCCAAAGTACAGAGAGGCCCGAGGGGCTGCCCAGGGGTCAAAAGGCAGCTGCCGGTAGGGGTAGCAACTGCCCCTACCATAAGGCCATGTGGGGAAATGAGCGTGAGCCGGCTGGACACTCCCACACCACATGAGCCTATGGCAGAGGTTGCAGGCCGGTGCCTAGATAGCTGTCTAGAGACTACTTGTGCTAGGGTCTCTCTAGGCACTTCCCTCACAGGCGTAGCCGATGAGCTGAAGGAGAGAATGCCTGCCTGGGCCAAGATGAAGAAGGAGAGTAGAGGACAGCTGGTTCTAGTAGACGTAGAGGTTTTCAAAGGTAGAGTAGGGGCCGTAGTAGATAGTGGAGCCACTCGCAGTTATATTAGGCGCTGCAAAAGCTGAAGTTGCAGTTAAAGGTCCAGAAATTGGCAGACCCTATAGTCAATATCCTCGCGGAGAACCGCACTATGCGAGTCGAGGATTACGTAGAGGGAGTCCAGGCTTACTTCCGCCTAGAGCAAAATGGGAAGGTGGAGAAGGTCCTCCACTCCCCGACTCTCCTCATTGAAGATAACCTCCCATTTGATATAGTCCTAGGAATGGACTGGGGAGAGGCAGCAGGGGCCACACTCCACTTGAGAGAGCACGAGTGTAGGCTCCCTAGCCCGTCAGACGGAGTCAAGACTGCCCACTTGTTCCATGTGTCAGGAGTAGACGACTCCCTGGCACATTGCTGCCTTAGCGCTCCTGCATTTGCACGAATGGTTAGGAAGGAGCAGCTAGAGGAACAGGTTTTCATGGCCTATGTCAGGCCAATTACCGAGCCTACGGAAGAGAAACCCACAGACCCCGCAATCGCCAAACTGCCGGAAAGATATAAGGATTTAGTTCAGCCGCCGATAGGAGTAGTTCCGCGGCCGATCCAGCATCGCATTGGGATCGAGCCAGGCAACAAGACTCCTAAGGGAGCTATGTATAGGATGTACCCGCGGGAACTGGAAGAGCTTCGCAAGCAATTGACGAGCTCTGGCCCAGTTCGTCTCCATTTGGAGCACCTGTCCTCTTCGTACCCAAAAAGGAGGGAGAGTTGAGACTATGTATAGACTATAGGGGCCTCAATGCCATCACAGTGAAGAATGTAGAGCCACTGCCCCAAATAGATGACCTATTAGATCGGGTGCAGGGGTAAGTATTTTTCGAAGATAGACTTAAGTCCGGATATCATCAGATGGAAGTTCATATTGATGATCAACACAAGACAACTTTCCGGACTAGATACGGACATTATGAGTTTATAGTGATGCCCTTTGGACTAACCAACGCGCCTGCAACATTTCACCGTTGCATGAACGATCTCGTTAGGCCATGGTTAGATAGGTTTGTCGTAGTCTACTTGGACAACATTTTAGTATTCAGTAAGTCCCTTCAAGAGCATGAGGGCCATCTGAAGGGGGTCTTGGAAAAGCTAAGAGAAGCTAATTTCAAGATCAATGCGAAGAAGTGCGAGTGGGCGAAGACCCAACTTTTGTACTTAGGCCACGTCTTAGACGGAGACGGCATAAAACCCAAGATAGTAAAATCGCAGCGATTAGAGATTGGCCTACTCCCCGCGCGTTGACAGAGTTGCGGTCGTTCCTAGGCCTAACAAACTATTATAGGAAGTTCGTGAGGAACTTCTCTACAATCGCTGCCCCCCTTCGGAGGCTGTTAAAGAAAGAAACAATCTGGAAGTGGGACAAGGATTGCACGTCTGCAATGAAGAAGCTGAAACAAGCATTGATAGAGTATCTAGTCCTAAAAGTAGTCGACCCGTCTCTACCCTTGGTCGTTACCACGGACGCGAGTCAATACGGCATAGGTGTTGTCCTACAACAAGACGATGGCAATGGTTACAGACCCGTAGAGTTCATGTCTGCTAGGATGCCTTCAGAGAAGGTAGCGACATCTACCTATGAAAGGGAACTCTATGCTCTCAAGCAAGCATTAGAGCACTGGAAGCACTACTTGCTTGGGAGGCACTTCAAAGTCTATTCAGACCACGAGACATTAAGATGGCTGAAGACGCAGGCTAAGATGACACCGAAGCTTACTAGGTAGGCCGTCGAGATAGACCAATACGATTTTGAGCTCAAGCCAGTAAAAGGGAAGTATAATGTAGTTGCGGACGCTCCGAGTAGGAGAGCGGACTACTTTGGGGCTATAGTTCATTATCTAGATATAGGGGGAGACCTGCAGCAGAAGGTTAGAGAGGCCTATACGCAGGACCCTATCTATAGTGACCTCCTCAGGAGAGTGAAGGAGGCCCTAGAGACTGAACCGGACTAGTGCACTACTGATGGACTGTTATTCGAGAAGACTAACGTAGTTGATCGATTGTGCGTTCCCAACAGTGAATAGATCCGTAGTTTGATCTTAGGGGAATGTCACGATACAGAGGGACACTTTGGTTGGCAAAAGACTTTAGCCAACCTAATGTCTGTCAGAGGAATAAGACTACCACGCGTGCCCTGCTAGGTCTTCTCAGGCCCTTGCCTATTCCTGACCAGCCAGGAGATTCAGTATCCATTGACTTTATGGATGCTGGCGTCAAGAGTAGGCACGGTAAGAGCCAAGTCATGGTCGTAGTTGATAGATTTAGCAAATATGCTATTTTTGTTCCTTTGCCTTCTGAGGCACGTACAGAGTTAGTAATTCAAAAGTTTTTTGATCACTGGGTCAGTGAGCACGGGGTCCCATTGTCCATAGTTAGTGATAGAGACACCCGGTTCACTAGTCAGAACTGGCAGGAGTTAAATGAGAGTCTATGGCTCGAAGTTGTTAATGTCATCTGGCCGTCATCCAAAGACCAACGGCCAGACTGAACAGATGAATAAGATCCTACAGCAAGTTCTGCGTATATACATTAGACCTCATCAAGTCAACTGGGATGAGATGCTTCCACAGGTAGCCAGCGTTTACAAAAACAGTGTGCACTTGTCTACCTGTCGCACTCCCAACGAGCTGCACAAGTCCTTTAGACCACGCAGACCGTTTGAAGGACTTGACCAAGATTTACAGGCTACCGCCCAGTACTGCGGAATTCGCGGTACAGCACGAAAAAGAACTAGCTACTGTTGTAGAGAACCTCAGGAAGGCCCAGCATAGGATGGTAGAGCAAGCCAACAAGCATCGTTGCCCGTCGCAGTTTCAAGTAGGCGACTTAGTCTGGGTCAAGTCAAAAGAGTTTGCTCCTGAGGAGAACATTTCGCAGAAGTTACTGCCTGCGTATAGAGGACCGTGGCCAGTCCTAGAGGTCAAGGGCGAGGATGGACCGTCCTACACTATTGAGATTCCAGCACACCTCCACACCTACCCTGTATTCCATGCATCAAAGTTGTTGCCGTGTGTCACGAATCAACAGTTCCCATCTAGGAGATCCATGATCCCCCCAGACATGGACGGAAGATATGACATTGACGGCATTGTAGGTGAAGATGTGTTCAGAACAGGAGGTAGAGGTCGTCCACAGAAACAATATAAAGTCCGATTCGCTTATCAGGAACCCGAGCACGACCGCTGGTTTACTAGAACGGAACTTCTAGAGACAGCTCCCGACATAGTTAGAGCCTACGAGAGAGATAAGAAAGGTAAAGGTCCTGCCTAGACTGAGTTATTCTCGGAGGACCTCGAATTTAGGCCGGCGGGAGTGAAACGGTTTTCACCTTTGCAGAGGCAGATGCAGATCCCAGGATTCAATCCCTAGACCTTACCTTACCCATGTACAGTACCGAGTTGACCCCTGAGTGTTTGAACCCGTGACCTGTGTATKCGCAAACAGTTGGTAGGCTGTTTTAGGTCCGTAGGTTGTAGGGGGATTCGATCTGTAGACCTGTCGGATAGGAGTCTTAGGAAGCTATAGAAGTCGTAACTGTAGACTTCCCGAAGGATCAAGGTCGTAGCTGCTACAGTCCAGAAAGGTCAAGGTCGTATCTGCTACAGTATCGAAAGGCCAAGTCTACAGCCTTCCGGAAGGTCTGAGTAGTGGCCTTTCGAAGTTCCCCATGTTTAGGCTGAGGCAAGTGGGCAAGTGGTGAGGCAAGTGGTGTAGTCTACCCGTGCTGAGTCAGCAGTCCCAGTCCTAGGCAGTCCTGGTCCAGTCAAGCAAGTACCGCATGGGACTGTGTGCACTATGGGCATGGGAAAGGGCCAGACCAACGAGCTGCAGAAGTATAAAGCAAGAGGCAGCGCCCCGTCATTCATTCATTCCTGCGGAAGCCATGCGGAAGCGCTGCAACAGTAACTTGTGCGAGGTGGTCTGCAAAGGAGCCTGAAGTCGAAGTGGGCTGAAGGGAGTTAGCGCAGCCATAGCTGCTGATAGATTAGTGTTAGCTGGCGGCCATAGCTGCCGTAGGTTAGCAATAGGTGCGTATGTGTATGTGGACAGTGTGTGTGCTTGGGTTATCCAGGGTGATCCAGAGTTGAGGTGTGAAGCGAACAGTGGTGTGGGACACAGTGACGAAAGTTGTGGTGTGTAGGTGCTGATGCACCATAGCCTGTTGAAGCGAGTATGCGACTGAACTGTGTTCTTGGTTTCCATATCTTCGAGATTTGAGTTGGGCGCGATGCACCAGTGTGATTCACCATCTGTTTGTATGCATGCGAAGTGTGAATAATTGCGAGTCTGATTGCACAGACAAAGGTCAGCAATAAATAAATAAATAATTAACTGCAGACTCAAAACAGAACCTGCGTGGTCCAGCTATCGTGCCAGGCCTAAAGAATGGCCGTGGGCCTCCAGGTCGTGTGCCTGGAATGGGCGTGCAGCCTAGGGGCCCTCAGCAACTGTCGGCCCCCGAAATGGGACGTGTGTGCAGGCTCAGCATGCAACATTAATCCAGTGTTGCATTCACACAAACAACCTCATGCAGAACACTTGCATTGACCTCAGAGGAGACTCCAAATGTGATGGATTTCACTGTGAAAGAAAATCAAACAGTATCTCGGTGCCAGAACAGATAACACATCACTGCAGGCAGGCAGTTTTAACTTCTAAGCATTCATTATTTCTCAGAGTAGCACTCATTGCCCCCCCTCCCCCCCCCCGCCCAATCAGACCGTTACTGGCTGGAGTCATGTCACAGACTCTATCAATGATGTAATTCAAAACGTACCGAAGCAATTGAAGCTGACTGCTCGCCAGGTGGGGGGTGGGTCACATCAGCACCAAATATAACTGTAGGCGTATTACATACGAATGGCAGTTTGTTCTCAATCATCTCGCTGACAGCCGTGTGGGTGCCTCCCATCTGTACACCACAGTACGCAGAGCATCAGAATGTGAATAGAAATCGCTGCTGGATTGAAGCCTGTATGAGACGAGCAGAACCTTGAACAGTTACTAGAGGAGGTGGTCCAGGATCAGATAGACTTTGGCCTGGACCAGGTTTAGCCAGTCTTGCCTTGCATCAGCAATTCCTTATTGCCATTTCTGTTTTCAATCCCCAATCCCAGACACATACACAAACCTTTCATCTCCCTAGCATAGCACAATTGTAACTAGCGATTGTTGAAGGATTCCCCGAAGTCCAAAGTTGCAAACATGTCTAAAATCCCATTGACCAAGCAATTAATGACGTCCAGGTTGTTATCATTCCTGACAGATTGATAAACAAATTAACAATACTGTACTGTACTGAGACCAGGTAAGCAAGAGACCACGTCACATTTTTTTGAAGAAAACCGAATTATGGTGTTGTGATATCCTGCCGTCCCATGTTCAGCCCCATGTTTTCCTGAACTTCTACGCTCAAACCTTTTTCCTTTTTTAGAAAGCTGTCTTCTCCAGGGTTGCATACCTGCTGGCCGCCTACCTCGACCGCCGACCGTTTCGCAGCCTACCAGTGGGGCCGACCGGCCGGCGGTCTGCCGACCAGTTAGTAAACAGCCATCCACTGATTTCTAGTAACTATTGACCCTGTCTCTTATACACATCTAGATGTGTATAAGAGACAGGTACTGTACTGAGACCAGGTAAGCAAGAGACCACGTCACATTTTTTTGAAGAAAACCGAATTATGGTGTTGTGATATCCTGCCGTCCCATGTTCAGCCCCATGTTTTCCTGAACTTCTACGCTCAAACCTTTTTCCTTTTTTAGAAAGCTGTCTTCTCCAGGGTTGCATACCTGCTGGCCGCCTACCTCGACCGCCGACCGTTTCGCAGCCTACCAGTGGGGCCGACCGGCCGGCGGTCTGCCGCCGTGTTATACCTGTCTCTTATACACATCTAGATGTGTATAAGAGACAGATGCATGGTTTAGGCCGTGCACTGTATGGACATCAAGACATATGGCTGGAAGAATTTCTGAACCCTCCAATAGGGTTGGCACGCTTGCCGACCCTTCAAAAAAAAAAAAAAAAGTTCTTTAGAGGGGTGCCGCCGACCGCCGACCAGCAGGTGCCAACCAGCCGACCAGTCGGCTGGTCGACAGCCGACCAATCAAACGGCGCCAACCGTCCGCCTGTGCAACTCTGGTCTTCTCCTCATATATGGGGGACAGCTACATTTACTACGTTATTTTCTTCTCTCAATATTTTTTCCCTCTTCACACTAACTGCCACCGGAGGGAAACTGCTTAAGCTCAATGAGTAGAGCACAAGTGGCATTCAGGAGGTCGTGGGTATGATTCCCGATGGGTATGATTCCCGATGTTGTCCGTTGAGTTTCCCATGGCCCCCTCCGGCGTGCTTTCGGTTCACCAGCTGAGATAGTTGCTTGCCCCACCTGGCTGGTAATGGCAGGAGTCAGGAATCCGGCCATCCCTCAATAGGGGTTAAGAGCCTGGGAACTGCTCCCCGCACAGAGTAGAGTGGATAGATATAGGTGGGCCAGTGGTGGGTTCCTGCACTTCTAACTTATCAGTTTTGTCAAATACCATACACTTTCTTCCTCACAGTGGACAAAATACCACTTCTTTGTGACTCCTTTTTATGCCCTCTTTTTTATGACTCAAACAAAAGGAGTGGACAACATAGGCATCAGACAAATCTGGCTCAGGCACAAAAATTGAAGATGTAACTACATAGTACACACACATTAATATGGTTGTTTGTACATGGCGTATTTTGTGGAATTTGGCTGCTTTGCCAATTTTGTGGTCTTCAAGACATTTAATTGACAATCATATCATCATAGACAAAAATTGAAGATTTAACTACGTACTACATAGTACACACACATTAATATGGATGTTTGTACATGACGTATTTTGCGGAATTCGGCTGCTTTGCCAATTTTCTAGTCTTCAAGACATGTATCGATGATCATAGAACACCGAAACTCAGAACCCTGGTGAAAAACCCAAAGAATCACACTTCACTGCTCCTATGACATACTTTCAAAAGGCAAAATTGCGACTCACCTTGTGACACCTCCCGCAAAGGACCTAAACAAGAAAGGAAAGAGATAAATCCATCCTGGCCTGATGCATGCCTATGAACAGATAGGTAATGCGCAGAACCCAGGAATCATCAAAATGAGGAGGCAAGGAGGAATTGAGGGAAGAAGAGAGACAATGGAGCTGAAGTCCAAAAGTTCCAAAACCAATAAATCTGACTCGTATGGCTGAAGATATAGACCATGCACTCACCATCATCACTCAAAAACACTAGGAGGGGAACCATACATTGACCTAGATGACCATAAATGGTGACAAGTGAAGACGAGGATAAAATGTGAGGGAATATGAGAAAGATAGCTCGGAACACAAGAGTCGAACTGATACTGGTCTTTCTCAATCCACGATCCTCTCTCAACACAATGCCAAGTCTGAAACTGGGAGAAGTCTCCCTGAAATAGTCCCCAAGTACTCTCTCTCTCTCTCTCTCTCTCTCTCTCTCTCTCTCTCTCTCTCTCTCTCTCTCTCTCTCTCTCTCTCTCTCTCTC